CAAAAACCCCACCTTCAGCAACCCTACGCCCGAATCCACACTTCCCAGGCAACGCCTCCATGGAGGGAACGACACACACGGCGCTGCCGCTGCCCAATCCTGCCGGATTTTGGGTTTTTACCCGGGAGAGGGAACGGAGGTGGGGAGAAGGAGACCACGACATCGCCTCCAAGAAGGAAACGTCGCCCAAGGCCGACGTCGATGCCGGGCCGAACCAACCGGCCAGGGGTTTCCCCCGGTCCCGATCTGCAACACCAGCCCCAAACTCCACCGGATCCAGCGACCAGCTACGGGAAAACAAGCACAGAGGGGGAGGGAGCGAATTGGGGGCGGCAAACCTCCAGATCTGGCGAGGAAGAGGAGGCCTCCACGCTATAACCACTGGCCGCCGACGCCTCACCGCCCCTGCGGTCGAGGACGCCGGCCGGAGCCCTCCGCGAGCGCCGTTCAGGGCAAGAACGGCGACGCCACGCCGGCAGGGGCGGCCGCCCCTAGGATTCAGATCCTCCGCTGCAGGAGCGACGAGGGCCTCGCCGCCACCATCACTGCCGGCCGCGCGGGCTTGCCCGGCAACCACCTCAGGTGGCGACGAGGAGGAAGAGGAGGGTTGGGGGAGGCGGCGCTCGGGAACCCTAGCCGCCGCCCGAGTCGCCCGGTCAGGTGACGCGGGGGCCGAGAGGGAGGGCACATCCTACCTATAAATACACGGGCACAAAGCCATTCGAGGTGTTCACGCACGACCAGAGGGAGGAGACCCACCCACGCCATCACGTTGCAAGGCTGCCGCATCCATCCATCACGTAGCACGCATCCATCCACTCCATCTCACCCACACAACGCAACAAACACCGGCGAAGGAGAAGTCATAGGAGCCGTCGGAGCTGGGCGCGGTTGCATCTGGCCGAGGCGCTTGGTGGCTCCACGCACCCGAACCCGAGAAGACGCACGACGGAGGTCGGCCGACTTGACGACCAGATGGCCATGGACGACAAGTTGATCTTCCCGGCAGGTGAAATTATCAACTAATTATCTTTTATCCTCCATGCATGCATAACACGGTTATGGTGGAGGAGCTGTCCATCCACACAAAGGAGGGCCCTGACTAGGGCACGGAGACGGCGCCGACGCGATGTACTTGTGACATGTCTCCTTCCACTCTTCACCAACAAACCCATCATCTTTGCATGCCTCCTCCGACTCGGGAGCAACCGGAGCTCCCCAACAGCGCAACCCGAGACCGGCCTTCATGTCTTGGTACGCAGGTCTTTGATGAACAGGTCATGAAGTCCAGGTCACGATGCACAAGTCTTTACGCACAGATTGCAACGAACAGAGCTACGGTGGACAGGTTCATGGTGATGGAGACACCGACGTATAGGTTTTGCGCCACGCTCTTCGAGGAGACAGTGTGGCGGAACCAGAGCTCACCAATGACATAGCCCGAGACAAGTCGATGGCGAACAGGTCTCTCCGGTGCACAGGTCCACGTCGTTCTGATCGCGAGATGCACATGTCTGGTGTCTTGCTTCCCAGAGGAGATGCCGTGGTGGAACCGGAGCTCGCGGCTACGTAGCCCGAGACAAGTCAATGGCGAACAGGGCACTCCGGTGCACAGGTCCATGGTGTTTCGATCGTGGTGCACAAGTCTGGTGTCTTTGCTTCTCGGAGAAGACGACGTGGCGGAACTGGAGCTCACAATGATGCAGCCCAAGAGTGTTCCCTCCTTCGAGAGGTGAACCCATTATGGCGGACAGGTCCATGGCGTCGCCGGCGTGCAGGTCGCCCTTTCGCGTAGCACCAACCCAAGGCGACACGGCCTCTACAACGCCACCATTCCACGGTCTCGTGAGCCCCCCCTATCTTGGCGGACCGCTGAATACTCGGCTCTAGCCGAGACGAGGTGCCAACCACACCAGCCACGCCAATGTGAGCGTGCGTCAGTTTTTGCAGTGACGCTAGTCTCCCCAAACCTTTACTCCCGCAAGGATAGCCCCTTGCATACCCGATGAAGCTATTGGTCGTCAAGAAGTCGGCGCCGAGCGCGACCTATGTCACCCCGACAACAAATACTCCAATGCCACCAAGACCGACGAGGCACGACGGCGAGGGCGGGCGTGGCCACCGCAAAGGCCATGCTCCTTGCGACGCATGTACCAACGAGGACACGGGCTTTGCCGCCGCCCACACACACATCACCATTATCCTGCATGGAGAACACGAAGCGAAGACGACGATGATGACCACACAGCTCAATCGGAGGTATTCCGCGGAGCAACCCGCGGGAGTAATTAACCGGGAGCCTTCCTAGGCCCCGGGAACAAGGAGAACGCAATCGCCATAGTTAGGATGGCCGCGCTAGTAGGCCATGTTGTGCACTTTTCGTTTACGGGATCTTATAATTTTTTTCTCCACTGAGATTAATGAAATACTCATTTCGCGTACCTTTTTCTTTGTGTACCACGGTACACTGGCATGCCCACATATTTACTTTTCCCTTTCCCGGCGCAAGGGAGAAATACACTCCCCTTCCCTTCTCCCGGAGTCCTAGAGATTTTTCTCGTGTCAAACAAATTGGCACGCCCGGTGGGACCTGATTCTCCTCCCATCTTTGCTTCGTTGTGGTCGTCAGAATCGTCTTCGCCCATCTCCCAATCCACACAGCATCCTGCATGACAAGGCATCGGCGAGGACTTTCGTTGATCGAGATCCCTTTTCTTGCAGGTGGACTCTCGCACGGAAGCAACTCGGAGCCATTGGTGCTTCAGTTTGGATCAATGCCTTCCATGATCGTCATCGAGCTCGGTGAGGAGGTCTACATGCATGAAGCTCAAGATCCTGCGCAGTTCCAAACTGTGCAGTCGAAGAAGGCGCAAAGACATGAGGCCGCCAAGGCGAAGAAGGAGCGCCGCGAGCTAATGCTCGAGGCACGTGCCCTATTGAAGGAGTCAACAAAGGCAGATATGAAAGGAGACGTGGAGGCTGCCCAACGCCTTTGCGCCAAGGCCGCCAACAGGCGGGCAGGAGTGACGTCCCATCACGCCCTTACCCCAACTTCACGCTCGGAGTCGTCACGGCCAACACCACAGCGCACTGAGGTCGAGTTGCTCGGGGGCCTGGAAGCCATCTCCCACAACTTGCGGATGCTTATGGCGAATGCCCGTTTGTCCGAAAGCCCGCATCCTCTTCGGAACTGTATCACAAGGTATGCTCAGAGCACAGTGCCGGAGAAGTATTGGTCCCTCGGAGCAAGGGACCTGGCGGACAAAGTGTTCACTTACCGGAGCACCCTGGCCCCTTCATATGAATTGTTCCCCGACGACTGGGCGTACGAGTAAACCAAGATCAAGCAGCTAGTGAGGCGGGCCATTATGAAGGATCTCTGGAAGCGGTGTTCACGCAAGGAGCCTGTTCTATTGGGCCCTACAGTCTCCATAAACCTGAAGATACTCGAAGGGGGGCATGGGCGCCATGCCTCCACACTTCAGCGGTCGATGGATGGTCTCTCCCCAACGACAACAGGTTTTCCATCCTTTGCCATGAAGCACCCGCCCCACGTAATGAAGACATGCGGCGAGAATTTTGCTAGCTCCAAGAGCAGATGAACAACATTCAAAGGCGGCTGCATGATCCAGCAGCACCAATTACATCATCAACACAAGGTGCAGGTGGGACCAGGCGTCAAGCCCCGAGTCATCGCCCTCAATACAAGCGCCACACGTTGGCACCTCAACGAACGCTGCCTCCACGCCGACTTTTGAGAAGGCCGTCGCCTATCTTCATCTCGAGGAACGCCCCTTCAAGCAACAGTGGGCGCACGCGGTCCACACCACCCTCGCGAGCATTTTTTCTAGAGCATTGGAGTGTCATCGTCATAGAAAAAAGGAAAAAAAAAAGAGTTTCGGCTCGGTTGAAAGGAGACGCGCAAGTCATCCCAACAAAAAAGAAGAACCTGTGAGGTAGGTGCGGGCAGCGCCTTTGACGGGATTTTGCTTCAGCCCGAGCGGGTTTATTTTCTGTTTTGAGCTAATTAATCGAGGAACCTAATAAGTGTCATACGTCTTGTACGAGCATATGGCAAGTCCGGACATTTTTTATCACAAGTTTAGTTACACGAAGATGACAACTTTAGTTAGCAGACATGACAGCTTTCGTACTTCAGTTTATTTTTGATAGAAACTTGTCATGAGTAAATGGAATTTGCGCGTAACTAGAATTGCCATCAAAGAAACGTCAGAGTCGGAGTGCCACGCACATCTGACACGTGACACTTATCATTTAGGGAGTCCAACTGTAGATGTTGTAAGCAAAAGCAAAAGAGCAGGGTGGATGGCTTTGCTGGGGACTTGAGCAAACAAGCAACGGTAGATCGAACGGTGTGAAGTTTAGATGTGAGGTAAGTGTATTACATTTAAATGTGAAATAGCAATTCCATTTAATTTATTGATCATTGAAAGTTGAAACCACAAGATACATACGTACGTGCTCTTGTGCAGCACGAACAGATGGCCACCAACTGCAGAGATATGTGGTACTTACGACGAAGCGCTGGTAGAACTTGCGCCGGAAGTGGGGGTGCGGCGGCACGAGGACGTTGGACCAGTAGTCCGCCCAGCGCGGGTCGGCCTCGTAGTCATAGGCCGCCGCTGCCCGCCCGCTTCGCCTCCCTGTCCCCCATCTCGGTTGCTGGTGGCGGCGGCTCCGGTCTGCGTCGGCGGCCACTTTGGAGACTTGGAGTAGTGGGTGAGTTCCGGTGGTGGCTCTTTCTCCGTTGGATGGCTTTGCTGGGGACTTGGGAGCCTCACGGTTGGACCAGCTGCTGCCCAGAAAGACGCCCTCTCCAACCGGGAACTGCTAAATCTGGTTTTCTCGTCGGTTTGGTAAAAGAGAAAGGGACGTGCACATAAGTTTTCAAAGGATGATGAAATGTCCAATGGGTTCATATATACGTGCTGTAAATGTGTTGCCCGGCACGACGCTGGTACGTGCGTGTCTAGATCGAAATGGAGGCGGCGAGCAGCACCATGCTGAAGCCGGCCTACTCCACGCCTCACCCTCTTGCCGGCGAGATGGTCCCTCTGACCCTCTTCGACCGCGCCACCTTGGACATCTTTGTCCCCCTCATCCTCGTGTACCCCGCACCGACTCCGTCCAACGAGGCGCTCAAGGAGGGCCTGCGCAGGGCCGTCGCGGTGTACCCTCACCTGGCCGGACGCCTCGCCGTCGACCACCGGAGCAGGCGTTTCATCCACGTCAACAACGAGGGCGTGCTTGTCGTAGAGGCCGCCGTCCCCGTTGATCTGGCGAGCGCGCTCACCGACGGCAGTTTCGTCACCAACACCGATGGACTGTACCCTGCAGTGCCGCCGCCGGAGGTAATTAACCATCTACAGATGTATGGCTCTACGCATTCTGGATGCTAACTGGCTCTTGGGACATAAAATATAGGAGAGCGTCGGGGCGGCCCTTCTACAGATACAGCTCAACCGGTACAAGTGCGGCGGCCTCGCGATCGGCTTCAGCAGCCACCACCAGGCCGCCGACGGCTACTCCGTTAGCAGCTTCCTCTCCACGTGGGCTAGCGCGGTACGCCAAGGCTGGAACTTCACCGCCCCGTCCCCTTTCCTCGATCGCGGCGCGACCGCCGTTCCTCGGGCTGTGCCGACGCCGGTGTTCGACCACAGGTCCACCGAGTTCAAGGGACAAGGCGGCAGGTCGTACCCTGTCGTCTGCGATCCCATGTCCTCCAAGATCAAGAACGTAACGGTGCGCTTTACGGCGGAATTCATCGCCGAGCTCAAGGCCCGCGTGGGAATCCGGTGTAGCACATTCCAATGCCTGCTCGCGCACGCGTGGAAGAAGACCACGGCGGCGCGCGGCCTGAAACCCGAGGAGTTCACGCAGGTCAGGGTGGCCGTGAACTGCCGGGCCAGGGCCAACCCACCTGTGCCGCCGGAATTCTTTGGGAACATGGTGCTCTGGGCGTTCCCGAGGCTTCAGGCCCGGGACGTCCTGGGCTGGACCTATCGCGGCGTGGTCGAGGCCATCCGCGACGCCGTCGCCCGCGTGGACGCCGAGTACATCCAGTCGTTCGTAGACTTCGGCAGCGTAGACGCCAACGGGGAGGAGCTCGTGGCGACGGCGGCGGCCAACGGCACAATGTTCTGTCCAGACCTGGAGGTGGACAGCAGCCTGGGTTTCAGGTTCAATCAGATTGACTTCGGCACTGGGCCGCCCTCCGCGTTCGTCACGCCGGACCTGCCCAACGAAGGCCTCATGATCTTCTTGCCGTCGTGCGCGGCCAGTGGTGGCGTCGACCTCATCATGGCCATCCCGGAGGATCACGATACGGCGACCTTCTACTCCTTGGATGAAAGAGCTAAACCAAAGATGTAAAATTAATGCTCCCTCTAATCATATATAGAAGATGAAGGTCGTTTTTTCATCGATTCGCATGGGCACGATCATCTCAAGACGAAGATCTGAGATAAACAGGTACCGCTTGTTCCGGTCTATTGACAATCTTCGTGATTTTTCTGTATTTTGATTTCCCTGTGTCAAATTCAAATATAGTGATGTCTAAATAAATCTGCGAATTCACGAGTGTCTTGTGTCTTGCAAATAAATCTCATGTTTGTACTTTGTTGGATATTTATGTGGCTTCCAACATTTATTCAACATGATTATTATTTATTTAACTTAATGTGGAATTATTCATATTATTAATGTTTGTGACGGGGAATGAGTGATGTGGAATTTCATTCGAGGAAGTAATATTCGAGGTGCCCAAAAGAAGTGTGATGGAATACTATAGAGGAATTGATAGGGGGACTCTACTGTAATTATATATTTACGTACGTATTTTTTCCTGGACATCACAGGGTGGAAGAGCTAGGTTTCTTTTGCAGGATCAGCTCTCCAAGCTGTTGACCCACATGATTAAGATTAAAAATTGATCTCACACATAAAATATAATCATGGCACATGACTCACACATGTGTGCTAGGGACTAGTATATTTAGACTCGGTCACTCGAAAAACGGGCATGTTTGATAGTGGTTGGTTACATTGCTCATGAGTCATACGAAAATTTCCAAAAACAGGTGAAAATAAAAAAAATGAAAATGGAGTCTATAAATAGGCCCTTACCCTCTAGCCTTATTATGCATTGTAAGTGGCACCACGGAAAAGAAAGAGAAATTAGAGGGTAGACCATCCACAAGTTGCAACATACTTCCTGTCAAAACATTACTTGTGAGATTATTCTCGATGCAGTTGCTTGCAAGATTAGGCTTTGCTTGGCCTTTTAAGGCAGCCATTATAATAGATTTTGATTTAGACAGGTGTTAAAGCTTGATAATAAGTGTACGTGCGGACTCCGGAGTGCCTTTATTGCTTTGAACTTTGAGAAACATAGCGTAGCTACTGGCAAATTGATGTTACAGAAAGGGAGACTTCAAAGTGCTTGACTGAAGCATCGCGCACTACAGAAAAATCACGTGTTGCCGTGTATCTGTTGTTGTGTATCTGTCAGTAAGCCGATTATCAAAACATGGGCGCTTGGCTTACATCCACATAAGCAGATAAAGGAATGAAAAACTCACTGCAAAAAAGGAGACTCGGTTTACATCCAAATAAGCTGAGTCAGACAAAAAAAAGTTCTTGACTTACGACAAACACTCGGCTTAAATGCAAAACGGCCCTTGGCTTACAGTCAGGGCTCGGCAAAGGGTTTTGCCACATGGCCGTCATCGACGCACTTAGCGGCTAGCATGACGGCCGTTAATATAAGCCGAGTACGTTCCCCTTGTACTCGGCTTATATTTCACATTTTTATTTTTTAAAGAGAAAAAGGTTTCGCCTCCCTGGTAAGCCAAGCACCCTCCATATGTACTCGGCTTACATCTGGCCTATAAATCACGCGGCCGCGTAAGGGCCGGCCCCTTCATCTTAAATCATGCCACCGCGGGGCCACGTTGCGGTCCCATGCTCGCAGTAAGGATTCCAATCCATCTATATGACCAAATAAAAAAGTTAGTTGTGCCAAATCGCAGGGTTAGTTGTGCGCATCTGAACTGCAACTAATCCTTATAATTCATGCTTAAATTCTGACAACCATGTATGTGATGCAAGCAAAGGGTTGTTTACATGATAGAGGCCTTCTGGTGATCAAAATGTGGTTTTATGTAAACAAGGGTGTCTCCCCCATTCACCCAGCACCTTCCTTCCGACTGGCGCATCGACGCAACTCCGGTGACGCACCTAGATTCGCTATCAGAATCGACAAGTTTGCCGAGTCTCTAGTTCTTTGTCAGACTGTTTTCTGTCAGGCACTCAGCGAATGGCGCCCTAAAACGAGTGTGGTGGAAAACACTCGAGTGAACCAAAAACATGTGCCCATGCCGAGTGTCGCCTAAAAATCACTTGGCAAAGATAGGGCACTGGGCAAACGCATCAACATGTGTCCTTGCTTGCGCAGATGACAGCGGGATGACGGTGCGACCTCGTTTGCCTAGTGTTTTTTTATGTGACACTCAAGCATAATCCATTAGTCCTATTCATCTTTGCCTAGTGTCAGCCAGGCGGCACTCGGCAAATATTTTTACTTATTTTAATCTGGTATACACTTTTCCGAGTGTCGGAGGCTTGGACTGAGCTACATGGGTGAAGCGGTGATGGTGCCGATTTCCTCTTATATGCGTGGTTTGGGTTCACAGATGCAGTTGCGGATGGAGTCGACGCTCTACTTTACTGGTTGTCAGCGGCTGGGCTCCCTACACTGGGCTTGATAGGTGGAAAGGCTCAAGGCTCCGGCGAAAGCTTAGTCTTCGACGAGGGTCGATGACGGCGATGATGGCGCTCAAGGGCGTCTTTCTCCTCCTTTGAGGGATTGTCGAAGAGTGTTTCCTCTCCACTCGATAGCCGTTGTTTGGATTTGATGCTGCCATGTGGGTTGTTTACCGTGTCCGAACCTTTTTCAATGCTTGCAAGGCGGTCGTGGGCGTTTCTGGGCAAAAGCTTATGTCTTCGACGATGATGGATGCCGACAACGACTATGCCCACGGGTGCTTTTTTCCTTATTGAAGGCGACTACGAAAAACCCGTCACTTTTTTCGGGTGGTGGTCATGTTGGTGGTGGAGTTCTCGCTAGGCCTGCATTGCCGTTGTTTTTTGGTTTTGTTTTGCTTTTCTTTTTTCTCAATTTGGTTTTCGGCCTAGTTTCCCTTGTAATAATCCGGGCCGCTCGATATGTTTTGTCTTTTCCTATCTACTTCCCCTGTTTCAAAATATAAGGTGTATTAATTTTTCGAAAAGTCAAATTTCTCTGAACATCATAATTATGGGTTATTGGAACATGATGCAAAGAAATGGGAGAATCTTCAATAATGAATCCCAAGGTGTTGGATGATGGAGAATTTTACTCAAGAATGGTTTCAAAATTGTGGGGCATAGAATGAAACAAAAGAACCTGAATTGCCTCAAGACCTGGATTGATGTTCATCTTTGATTCTGTTCTTCTGAGATAATTTGCTACGTGTTGATAATTTTCCTTCACGATACCGAGAAAATGAATTGCATAGTGTCCTTTGTATTTTTCTTATTACCTTTTGTGGACTTTAAATATCTTTTAGTGGAAACGAAAGTCCTGGTCTGCTCATATTCAAATTTGTAATTTTCTTATTATTACTTAGTTGAAGAAAAAGGTAGTGGCTCAAATTCAAATTTGTCCGCTGACTTCTCGTGCAAACTGTACCACTACTTGTTTACTTGTAATTACGGGTCTGCGTGGTTACTTAATATGACAGGAACTGCTGCAAAAGTCAGTTTGGACGTTGTGAAGGTCTATGCACTCCGTTGAAAAGTATACAGTATGCAATTTTTCCTTCCAATATTTGATACTTCTAGAAAGAGGATAGAAATATTTTCAATATGGAACATGTGACCCAAAGACTGGTGCCTCTTATCTATTGAGAGGAAATATAAGATACGCCAAACACATCAGATTAATTGGTTGCCGGTGAGCTAGACCGGAAGCGACGATGCACTATCAGAAACGCCACACCCCAGGAACAACTCGGTCAAGCAGGGGGGCTCCACCCCCCGCCCCTCCACTGCCGCCACCTCCGGGAAAATACCAGCAAGAAAATGGCTTAGAGAGGATCTTCTTGTCTTAAATGTCAAGAAATGTGCTTAATGTATTAAATACATAAACTGAATCTCGAAATGCCAAATTTTGGCATGTTATATGTGATTGTGTATGTTGATTGTAGAAAAGGTTCGATGGCAAAACGATGAAGCAACTGACACTTCCTTAGAAAACCAGACTTGTTACCCACTGAACAATGATTCTTCCACGGAGATGTTCTTGTTTCTGAGCAGTGTATGTCACAATTTTGCGAACCTTGTAAATTTTTACCACAACCTCTAGGTGCCATATGACAACACAATGCCCAGTTTCATGCTTTTATGATTTCTTCGCATTTTTCAGAATTTGAACACCAATAAGCTCCATGTTCGGGATCGAGTCTTGGCACCCCAACGTTTGGAATTATTTTCCTTTTCCTCGACAAGGCCGGCACATGGACTCAAAAGCACACATAAAATTCTCAACCCAATTTTGCCAACTTTTTCATGCAGTTCAAATTTGAAGGGGAGCCTTGGCGCAGTGGTAAAGCTGCTGCCTTGTGACCATGAGGTCATGGGTTCAAGTCCTGGAAACAGCCTCTTACAGAAATGTAGGAAAAGGCTGCGTACTATAGACCCAAAGTGGTCGGACCTTTCCCTGGACCCTGCGCAAGCGGGAGCTACATGCACCAGGTTGCCCTTTTTTTTCATGCAGTTCAAATTTGAATTATATTTATTAAATGCCTATAAATGCACTTCATGGTTTAAGTATAGCAAATGAACCCGAAAAATGCCAAATTTGACCTATAACATGTGATTGTGTATATTGATTGTTGAAAATGTTTCAAGGTCAAAAGGTAATGCAAACGACACTTTGCCTTAAACCTGAGATGTCACCTTCCTGACCCAACGATTCTTCCTTGGAGATGGTCCGGTTTCTAAGCAGTGTACATCATCACTTTTGCGGAACCTTCTCAAATTTTAGATACTTTCAAATATTATACACATACACCTAATCGGCATATCACGACCTTTGCTGGAACACTGAGTATGGTTATGCATTAGGTCATTACTTTGTCCAAGGTCCTTGTGTCGTCCTCCCTAGGGTGAAATGGGCGCCCACAAACCCTAACCACCTCCACCATCCTTCACCCCTTCACTTCCTACCCACCGCAATTGGGGGAGGCCGCCATGAAAAGCCCGTCCGATAGATAGCGGAGGTAGGGCTATCTCCTTCCTATCACAGCGACAGATAATGGGTTTGCATGGGG